GTCCCCTCTCTCCCTATTAGAAATCACATGTGCTTATATTGACTTTACCCGTAAACTGTCGTCTCAAAATCATAACTCACTCACAAGAGAAAAGTCATTTTGACATGTAGCTTTCAATTTCTAAGTTTTAGAAAATTAAATTTTATTGAATGGGAAAGTTCATTATCCCTCAACCAATAAATAGTATCATCTCCTTAAAACCTGACCTTTTGGAAGAATGAAAAAAATGTCATGAAAAAAATGAAAAAATAAAAAACGAAAAAAGGCCTATTTATTAAGAAAAAGAGGTGAATGTAGTAATAAGGGCAGCGGGGCTGCGTTCCCAGCACCCCGGCCGCCTGGACGGCTAGCTTATGCCTGAAATAACAACACACAAACTGTATTCATTTAAACACTGCTTGGCCCTTTGGCCCTAGCCCTTACTGGCTAATTCTGTTATCCCGATCAACCCATCTCTAATAATCGGTGAGCACCAGTCTTACCAGGAAAGGTTCAGCATGTCTAACCTGGCTGCATGCTTCACGGCATGTGTCTGCCTGGGAGCATGACGTCTCTCTCAGAGGCGTCTGCTCCCGAGAGCAGAGTTGTCGAGTCTGAGCTCACTTCCTCTTCCTCCCAGCGTTCTGTTCTGTTTACTCCTCCCACCTATCTTCTAACCAATAACATGGGCCAAGAGAGTTCCTTTATTAGCCAATGACCTTCCTCCATCATTTCCCCTTTTTCTGTTTAAACAAAAAAAGGCTTTAACTTTAACATAGCAAAATTACATATAACAAAACAGTTATCAAGTAAAAGTTACAATAATCTTTATCATAACTAAGGAAAACTATAACTATAACTAACTATTCTTAACTCCATCAAAGACTCCAGAAAGATACAATACTACCTAAGCAAACAAGAAAAAAGCAACTTTTAAAACTCTAGAAATGACAGAGACATCTTGCTGCCTGGACAGTCACCCAAGGTTCTTCTGTACCGTTGGGGCATCCATCTTCAGCCTTCAGGCCCATGGTATCCAGCAGACATTTCCATAAAGCAGGAAAATTCAAAGTCAGTTCAGTCACTATCTGTTGTGTCCTGCAGAATGTCTCGCAGACTCTTTCATGAATCAGGAACCCCGAAAGACCATCTCAACTTTAGGCAAGTTCAGTAGTCCTCTCTCTGTGGGTTCTCTGTGTCCAGTTTATGCAATAGTCTAGGCAAGAGCAGTTTCTTGCCCAAATGGCTATCAAATTCCATAAGGTGCCTCTTTGATGCCCATCTTCCTCTTGAAGTACATTGGTGCTGCCAGGAGCAGAGTGTCTCATTGTCATGAAAAGTCCTCAGATATTAAAACATTAAATGTCCTATTCTGTAATCTTTGAAAGACATGAAGAATGTCTATCTAAAATATATCTCTATATATCTAGAAAATCTAACTAACATGACTACAAGCTTTACTATTATCGATGATTATCCATAACAACCTATATTTCTTAATTATACAGTACATATTTAAATGAACTACACAATCACAATACCTTAATCAAAATCAGAAACACTTATACATATAACAAAATTGACCTTAAATCTCTATCAACAAAGCAAAATCTATATTAATGCAAATTATTCATATCTATATCATATCCCCTTTAAATGTAAAAGAACATTTAAACATTTTTTGGGAATATGGGCACAGTTATTTCTCTCCAAACTGCTTCCTGCTGAATGGGGGCGTCGTTAATTAGGTCTTTCATGGTATAACCTGTGTGCTAGTTTCATCTCAGTTGGCAGTTGAGCGAAGCAATTTTTTGAAGGCGTGCACAGGAACCATTCAGAAGGACATCGTCTATCATACCACATTGGGATGGAAGCAATCCACAGACTCTCATCCTCTGTGAAAACAAAATAAGAAACTCCTTTCCAAAGTATCATGTCCTTAGATCCAAATTTCAAAGTCAAGGCATAAAAATATCTATGTTGGATTAGTTCAGCAGCATTTATAAACAAATATCTTTTAGTAGCTTTTGCTCTTTCCTCAGCATTCAAACAATTCAAAGAGAGCATAATAGCATACAGTATCAAGATTCTCTGTGTATTTTCCAACTTTGTTCGTTTTATTTTAACCTCTATTTTGTTTATTTTTACTTTTAACTTTTTGCTTTTTGAGATAGGTTCTCTGTATCTTTGACCTGAAGTAACTCTGTAGACCAGGCTGTCTTTGAACTCTCAGATATCTGCCTGTCTCTGCCTCCCAGGCATTCGGGATTAAAGGTGTACACTACTACACCTTGAAGTCACAGAGGTCAATCTCCCTCTGCCTTCCAAGTGTTGGGATTAAAGGTGTGTACTACCACACACAACAACTCTCTTCCTTTTTTTTTGTTTTTCACTTTAAGAATTTTGACTTTTAGTCTGCATATATTTTTAACACGCTGTAAATCATTTGAAAATTTTCTTTGTCTTTGAATCTCTCTTTACTGTATCTCTCTCTGTTTTTCTGACCACATGAGTCTTTAATTTACCAAGCAATCTCAGTAGGACTAAAGGCGTGGCTTTGCCCGCTAGATGTAGTGCATTCCTTAGCTTTCCAGCCTAATGGCTGAGGTACTGGCTGTAGCCACGTTTACTGCCACAACTCTATGGCATTTCAAGGTCCCTGACAGCAAGTGAGCTTCAGCAGCCTGTGCTTGTAAACCGCACGAACCGCTTGCGTAAAAGAGTCAGAGTTTGCCCTGGCAGGACAGCCCAGAAAGCCGGCATTTTTAAACTGCGCAGCTTTTTTCCTGCTACGGCTGAAAACCGAAAAGCATGCTTTCAGCTTTTCGTCAACACCATTTAAGTGTTTTGTGGCAGGACCTCTTAATGAGCTGCAGGATTTTGCAGCAGAAGCTGAGTCAGGAAGCCTCTCTTAGATGAGAGTAGAACCGAGAAATTGCTGCTACCAAGAAACCAGGCACAATGCTTTCATTCTGTTCTAGAATTACTTCCCAAGCTGTCTCAGGCTTTATGTGGAAGCAGTTGTCCACGTGGTCACCATTTGTAGTAATTAGGGGCGGCGGGGCTGCGTTCCCAGCACCCGGCCGCCCCCACGGCTAGCTTTACCCAAAATAATTACACGCGATGAAGCAAGCCGCCAGGTTAGACATGCTGAACCTTTCCCAGTAAGACCGTGCTCACCGATTATTAGAGATGGGTTGATCGGGATGTGAGAATTAGCCTGTAAGGGCTAGAGCTAAAGGGTCAAGCAGTGTTTAAATGAATACAGTTTGTGTGTTGTTATTTCGGAGCTAAGCCGGGCAGGCGGCACTGCCGCCCCTATTACTACAAGTGAAAACCACCCAAATCTCAAGGTGTACAGGTATTATTCAGCATGTATGATTTAGAGATTCCAGAGGAGTTTCTGGGCTTTTTAGAAGAAAGTTATGCTCACTACAGTGCCATTGACACACATTTTATTAGGAAACATAAGCTTTTATTGCTTAATCCAATCTAAGGACCAGTGGTAAAAAAAAAGTTGAATGTTTTTGTAATTTCCACCATATCTACACATATCATTAAGGGAGGTGTGATAAGAATTCAGATCCTAGATGTCCTGTAAGATAATGATTTGCTTGTTGTTTTAGGTTGAGAAGAAATGTTATCCTTTTCTTATTATCCACTGAAGTGTTTTGGGTGTAACTTCCTCGAGATCTTTGGCTTTCATGTGAGAAGTCACAACTATCTTCTAAGACTCAATGATCAAATAGAGGGAGGGATACAGTTGGTAGACAACAGCAGAAAGAAAGAGAAGAGGCAGAGAAACGAGCATTTATATTAATTCATCAAAAACTCCTGTGTGGTGCTATTAATGTGGAGGGTGTCATGTATTGTGAAGAAGCTGCTTTATTCAGTGTGTTTGTTCACACCCGTCACTCATTCCAGATGCTGTAGCAATAGCAGGGTCAGGCTCAGAGTGCAGCACTGTCTATCCTTTCACAGATATTTTTTTAAAAAAACACCCTGGGATTCCCAGGCTCCAGGACAAGGGTCCTGAATATTGAATAGATATAGCCTCTCTTGATGACAAATTAGTCTAGGTAATCAAGGCACACAGGTTTGAGATGTGTGGCACTGAAATATATGTGTTATAAGAATGTACCAACATTTCTGCATCTGTTTGCAGACTGAAACACACATGAAAGGGGCGAGGTTGCTAACTAAATCAGTATAATATCTTTAGTTACTGCAAAGTGAAAGGTGAAAATATTATTTGTAATATACAATAGAACCATGTGTTATAGTTTTCTGTTATTGTATTCAAGTCTGACATCACTAGTGAACCAATAGTGGAAGAAATTGCAGGAATAGTAGCAAATGGTAGAAAAGAGAAAATATGAAAGAAAAATGTGCAACTGATTTAGTCTGCTTGTCTGATAGTACCCCCATCTTCATATGGAATCAGGACCCCAAGTTATACACACTTTTATGATCAATGTGTAATATGTGTACTTACTGGGTAATTCCTCTATTTTTACCCAAGTAAGCATATGTAAAGCTATAAAGCCCTATTTTTTATACATTAAAACTGCCAGGGTAAATTATAATTTAAATTTATAGGAATGATGTCTCCAAAACTCACAGAAACATCTCAAGAAGAACAGAACCAATCAGAATGATTTGAGTGATTTAAAGATTTAATTTTCCTTTTTATGTGGCATATCCTATTACAGTGAGATATTTATCTATATTACTCTGGTATATCTTTGAATCTTATGATTCAAATTAGAACTTATAAATATTAGAAATGTCATATATAATTTTAAAACTTGAAAATTTATAAACTTTAGAGGCATGTATTTGGTCTGAGCTTGGACATTTACTGACCCTCTGCTTGTCTTTACTTACTGAGACAAGGAAGCCTTGCAGTTGTTCCCAGAACTAGCTGTTTCCAAGTGATTTGCATTCACTCACTGCCAAGTCTTGAAGACTTCTTCATATACCACCCTAACGCTGTGCAGCAAGTACAGCCAGGACTCAGAATGGACATGAGGGCCCCTGCTCAGCTCCTTTGGTTTCTATTTCTCTGCCTTTCAGGTAAAAAGGGACAAAAATTGTAGTTTCATTCTTACACAGTGATTATTGTTTACTGGAATTTGGGAGAGGTCCTCTTTTTTCATGCTTAACTATGTGGGAATTTACTATGTCTCCACTTTTAGGTTCCAGAGGTGACATTCAGGTGACACAGTCTCCATCCTCCCTGTCTGCATCTGTGGGAGACAGAGTCACTATCACTTGCAGGACAAGTCAGGATATTAGAAGATATCTACAATGGTTCCAGCAGAAACCAGGGCAAGCTCCTAAGCTCCTGATCTATGGTGCATCTAACTTGGCAAATGGGGTCCCATCAAGGTTCAGTGGCAGTGGGTCTGGGACAGATTATTCTCTCACCATCAGCAGCCTGCAGTCTGAAGATATTTCAAATTATTACTGTCTACAGTATGATGAGAATCCTCCCACAGTGATACAAGTCATAACATAAACCCCTATCGAAGCAGAAGTGAGAGACTGGGCTGCCCCAGCTGCTCCTCCTCATGAATCATTCACTGAAACTGTTTATCACTTGTCACACGACTTTTAGCAAAACTCACAGGGAATTATTTGTTTGGTAGATAATGCTTAATGGTTATTTCTGTACCCTAAGTATATTCCTTCTTTGCCCCTCCAGTACTACAGAGTTCCAATGCCTTTTCTTCCTTACACAGACATTTCCTGTGACGAGTCTGAGTTGTATTCCCAGTGTTAACACTTATACAATGGTGGAAACTACTGTGAACATTCCAGAACACATTATTTAAATACAGAAAATTAGTTCCTAAGTGCTAGGATACAAAGAGCAGAGAAATATTAGTGAGAAAAGCTAACAGTATAAATGATTCCTTGTTTTCTCACAAAGGCTAGAGCACAAGTTTTAGAGAGAGAGAGAGAGAGGACTGTTTAATCATGGTCCTCTGCTTTGTCTTGAAATTACAGCAGTTGGTGTTGATGCTCTCAGCTGTGTGCATGAAATTCATAGAGAATTCCTCTGGATCCTATGTCCTTAAGCTGCTTACAAAAATCAATTAATATGAACCATACTCACATGACTTTTACATCTACTGCATGAAGTTGAATATAGGTTTGTCTGTATGACACCATAAAGTTTGTAACGGTTTGTGATAAACATGCACCCACAAGTGATATTAATAAAAATTGATATTCCAGAGCAAAGTTTTAAAAACATCACAAAGCCAGGTGATAGTGATTCATGACTTTAATCTTAGCACTTGGAATTAAAGAGAGGCAGAGATTCTCTAATTTCAAGACCAGACTGACCTACCCAGAGAGTTCCTGGATAGCTGAGGCTATACAGAGAAACCCTGTCTTGAAAAGTGAAGAAAAAAAGAACAACAAAAGAGCTATGATCTATATACTCTTTAGTTTTTAAAAATTGTGTGGTTAAGACCTATTTCCTGTCTCTTTATGATATCCCATTCATATCCCCCTATCTCTATGCCTACAGCACACACAGACTTAATCGTTGTAGTTGTATACAAAAGAGATTAAGTTGAAAGATATAATACCAGTTTAATAGGCTTCAGTCATTCTTCCTTGGACTGTCAGTTTTCTACATTAACTGTGGACTGAGTTAATCAAACTTAAACTCCTTCAGGAATATTAGTTACCTTACATTGAACTTATGTGCCAGTTGAAGAAAATATACATTTAAAAGGGGTTCATGGAGCTGGAGAGAATGCCCAGTGGTTTAGAGCACCCAATGGCCTTGAAAAGGACCTGGGCTTGTTTCTAAGCACCTATATAGTCAACTACAACTATATTTAACTTCAGTTCCAGGGGATTCATCATCATTCTCTGGCCTTGGACTATGCACATAATGTTCTCACAAACATACAGACAAAATAGTCCTACATATAAAATTATTTTTAAAATCGTTTATGCTATGAACACAGGTATATTGTGTATTCACTTGTATAATCTTTAATGGATAAGGACAATTCAGCTATCCTTGGTGTATATGGAGATTTTATTGTAATTTTTCCTAAATTTTTATCTTGATATTCTTTTTTATGAATTTGTATACTTATTTACTAGCAAATATTTTACTTAATTTGTTTCATTACTCATTTTTTTCTACAGGTTGTACCTTGTGCTATTGGTTTAGATACAAGTAGCGACAGCAGAAATTTTGGTCTTATTTGTATTCTGAGGTATAAAATTTGTGTGGGAATTCCTTCTATATGTTTGTTGCTTTTATTGATTAATGATTAAGGTAACTGCATTGGTCTGTGGTAGGGCAGAATAGAGCTAAGCAAGGAAAACTAAACTGAATGCTGGTAAAAGAAGGTGGGGTAAAGGATGCCAAATAGCTGCCACCAGGAACAGATGAGCTGCAACGTTGATGGTGAGCCACAGCCATGTGGCAATACACAGATTAACAGAAATGGGTTAAATTTGCTAGACGCAAGAGCTAGCCAATAAGAGCTAGAGCTAATAAGCTAAACAGTGATTTAATTAGTACAGTTTCTGAGTGGTTATTTTGAGTGTCTACAGCTCCTCATCTATGAGGCTTTCCAATTAGCATCAGTATGTTCCAGACACATTCAGTCACAGCAGACCAGAATTTACGATACATCCAAAATTAGCATGGTGGTACTTGAGTATATTGGAGTTCATTTCTGTTTTCTATGTACAAATTATCCTTCTAAAGTGACATAGACACGAACAAAATATCTTTGCATGGGATGATCCAGCTGACAAATGTGTACTGTGTTAGAGGAGGAGCACAATACACTAAATATGTGTGATATGTTGAAGAACAAATGATAAGCATTTGGAACAGAGGGGTCTGGATCACTAGTGTTTTCTCAAGTAACACCCATTTCCAGGAGAGTAAATTAACACAGCCATATCTTTGTTTCTACAACAGAATGACTGTATGTGAGAACCTCTCAGCAATCAGGAGAAACTGAAATAAAGATGATACAAAGTTCATCCTGATTCAACATGCTTCACGTACACAAAGTTATTCAGCATCACAGCTAATTCAGGGACATTATCTACTGAAATTCACTCCTTATTTTTATATATCAGTCTTGTCTCTTTTTCAGTTTTTCAAACTCCATGTTAGCCTATAGAAATGAAAGCGAAGAAGGAAGCTCCTGCCCCTCCCAAAGCCGAAGCTAAAGCGAAGGCCTTGAAAGTCAAGAAGGCAGTGCTGAAAGTTGTCCACAGCCACAAAAAGAAGATCCGCACATCGCCCACCTTTCGGTGTCCCAAGACCTTGCGGCTACGAAGGCAGCCTAAATACCCCCCAGAAGAGTGCGCCCAGGAGGAACAAGCTTGACCACTATGCTATCATCAAAGTCCCCCTGACCACCGAGTCAGCCATGAAGAAGATAGAAGACAACAACACACTTGTGTTCATTGTGGACGTCAAGGCCAACAAGCACCAGATCAAACAGGCTGTGAAGAAACTCTATGACATCCATGTGGCCAAAGTCAACACCCTCATAAGGCCCGATGGAGAGAAGGCGTATGTTCGGTTGGCTCCTGATTATGATGCTCTGGATGTTGCCAAAAAGATTGGAATCATCTAAATTGTGCCCAGCCGGCTAATTCTAAATATACACTTTTTCACCATAAAAAAAAGAAATAAACATATTCAGCTCCCTTTTGTCATCTATTTATGCAGCATATGTTTTTCTTACTTCTTATGTTCTTTTTTTATACTCTGTGTCTCTTTCACTTACTCCAGGTATTTAGACCCTAGGAGAAGGATGAAAATTCAATTTTGTCTCTATGTACAGGATCACATTTCTACAATTAATAAAGCTAAGATTGTTCCTTGGAAAATTAAAATCTGAATACATTTTTATCCTCATGATTTGATGTTTCTAATTCACCAGCAAAGCTTTCGTCAAATGTTCTACTACCTAGTCAAGATATTTTGGAAGGACAAAATATTTGCAATGGGAAATTTTTTAATCCCTTTAGAGCAGCAATAGTGTCCCTTTCCTGTAGTTAAACACAGGTAGTTTGATTGCAAAAGCAAAGATTATCGCCCAACACAGATGTACAAATGGTTTATGTATCTCAGTGACCATATAACAGAGAGGAAAAATTAACATTTATTTATTCCTGTACACAGATCCCCTTATTATCTGTAGAAACCCCCAAAATGTGAGTCTATTCTACCTTGTCTGCAGGCCATAGAGTTTGATTTTCTTTTTGCTCTTTCGAAGTTGTTGACAAGAGGTATGGATACAACATATCCTGACCTCAGGTATTGTTATTTGGTATTTTGGACATTATGATGGATCATAAAGGTAGATCTGCTCAACTCTGACAAAAGGTCATAAAATTCAAGCATACAAGTAGTCCTTTGTTTGAAATAGAGGTTTTACTTAGGTAGTGTTTGATTTCAAAATACTTGGTATAAGCTATGTTCACTGCTCCAAACATCAAATGCTTTGCTCAGGAATTAATGGTTTGATGTCTCAAATATTAGAGCAAGTCACTGTTCTGTTTTGTCTTTGTGTCATGTGAAAGCAGTCTTTTGTCTTCTTCCCCCATTTTTTTGGGGGGATAAAAAAGTGTATGAAAAAATTAATGTGGCTGAACTCACTACTCAGAATTCAGTATTCAGTATCCACTGTGTTGCCCTCCTGGTACTCTCCTGTGTCTCTCTGTTTCTTTCTTTCTCTGCTTCTCTTCTTTCCTCCTTTCCCCCTCTACCTCTCCCATGACCCCCCCATACTCCCAATTTACTCAGGCAATCTTGTCTTATTTTCCTTCCCATTTAGATACATCTGTGCTTCTTTCTTATCTCTATTACTCTTACTTAACATTTCTAATCTTTAGGCCCCTACCCTGGAACTTCTAAACACAATACAACTGGAATCAAGGTCAAAGTTAACCCAGAAATGTGGCTGATGACAGTTATCCAAACTGATTCAGGCTATCAAAAAAACATGACCAGACATAACCAGAGAAAGACTATCTAGAATCTGTCCATGTTTGGAGGTCTTTAAGGGGATGAGATATCTACTCTACTGTTCAGTACTGATTATTCAGTCTACTACTTCCGGTTGGTAGCAGGTTGTTAGTTACAATTTTTTCACGTGGGTATATGCCCATAGAATATTTTGGAAGGGATCTCCAGCTGCCTTGTGTATTGCGTGTATGTATATTACTCAAACAATATGAGACTTTGGTTGCTATCAAACTTATTGGATTGCATGTTTCAGTGTCCTTGATCCATTCTGTTAATATGTGTATTCTTATTGGAGAATTAAGTCCATTGTTATTGAGAGATATCAGTGAACAATGACTGTCAATTCTGTTATTTTCTTGTTGTTTGTGATGATGATTATGATGGTGATTTTGATGCTGCTGCTGTTGCTGCTGCTGCTGCTGCTGGTGTGTGTGTGTGTGTGTGTGTGTGTGTGTGTGTGTGTGTGTGTGCAATTCTCTTCCTTTGCT